CTTCTGTCTCTGGGCACTCATCTGGACAGAATGGATAGCGCTGATCTCGCAAGATCTGAGTGATAAGGTGGCCAAAAGGAAGGTACTTAGCCCACTTGGGCTTGGCCTTGCTGATGTAGTCAACGTAGATCTTCATCATAAAGCTCTAATATAAGGCCAGAATAGAAACCCAGTACCCTGTGTAGAAAGCATACAGGGGAGTCAAATAATCGCTTCGCCTCTTAATCTTGTGGCCGGCCATAAACACGTTTCGGTACAAGACCGAATCGAAGAACCACAAATCATCGGGCAAACAGGTCTGAGTAGCAAATGTCTCGCCTTCACTATAATGGCCTGTAAGTGCTACAACCATGTCTACATAAGAAGGCCTCCTCTCCAGAATGGGATAATCGAGCTCAAGCTCAGGAGGGCAAACATGTGGGCATCGGCAAGATCTAGCCAGAGTTTCCACTATAATGCTGATAGGATGGCCATCGATAGTAGTGCGCAGCTCCGTCAGATTACTCGGGGCAGGTCGGAGGTTCTAGAAGAACATCCGAACAAGTCTCGGGTAAATTGGGTATGTAGCAGGGGCTATAATGGCTGAAATGCCCCTGCGGTCGATGTCCTCGTAGGCTGCCCAGGTCAGAATGTACCGAGAGAAGAAAGAGATGTCGAAAACTGACTCATGCTCCATTGTAACGTGTGAGTATCTTGGCAGAGGTCTGTCTAAGGCCTGGCCTGGCTGTGCATGAGTCGGAGATGGAAAAAGTGATGGTGTATCCTCAGCCTCATCATGGGATGATGAAGATGCAGTGGCTGAAGACTGTAGTCTAGAGTCAGCTGAGGGGGACTGAGCTGGATTTGCCTCGATATAAACTTCTAATTGCTTTGGCTACTCATGAATATGAGAGGGCTCTGCCTGATGCTCGGGCTGCTCCTAAACATGAGAGGGCTCGTCTGGCCCCTCTATCTTGGGCCTGACTCGGCGTGGATGATGCCTATGGGCAACAGTCTTTACCCTAGCCATGGCCTACAAAACAGAAAGAAAAACACTTGCAGAAAAGTCAGTACAGGCATAAAGAAGTGAAGCACAGTATATAGAAACATGTTTGTCAAATAAGATAGACAACACAGAACATGAATCTACGCAAGTGATGATGTAACTAAATAAACAGTGACATTAAGTGAAGCATGCTAAATAATATAAGTATGAAATGCATCCAATACGAAAAATACAAGCATTGGGCGTGTATGAGATAGTATGAAATCACAAAAAAGAATGTGTAAAGTGTGGGATACAAATCTGTGAAGTTCGATTGATCACAAAAATGTGAGATCGATCTCTGTGAGATGGATCTGAGATATGTTTCGATCGATCGAAATGGTACGAGAAATTTGAAAAGTCACAGATCTGTGACGTGAATGGCCCGGGGGCACCCAAGCAAGCTTATGGGGCCCTCTCACACAACAACACAACAAGATTGGTCACTTGTTTGGCCTGTGACCCCCAAAATCAATTTAAAAATGAAATATATATAAAAACCTATACATATATATATACACACATATATACAAAAGCTTGACAACTTCAAATATGGCAAGAAATTCAACATAGCAACTTAGATCTAGCAAGGAAACTATAAAATCATGTAGATTGATGCTCGAAAATGGAAATTAAAACCCCAACTTACTAAAATGGAAGAGAGAACTGGTGGTCGAGAGAGAGAGAGACGAGTAGATCTTAGATGAGGGAGAGAGATTCGAGGTACAGGAATGCCGTCGGAGATGGGAGAGGTAGGGTTTGCAGCGGCGAGGGAGATGAGGGCTTAGATCGATTTCTTGAAATCGATCTAATGACCCTAGGGTTTTATTTTTAAAAACATTCCCCGACAAGTTCGATCGATCAGGGAAAATTTTCGATCGATTGAGGATAGATCGCTCGAAAAAATGTTGAGATCGATCTCCCTTCACTAAACGACAAAAAAAAAAAAAAAAAAAAAAAAAAAAAAAAAATTGAAATATTTTGAATTTTAAAAAATTAAAATTAAAAGTATTTTTGAATTTTTGGAGATAAAACAAAAGAAAATTGTTTTAGGGATTTTTGAATATATTTGTAAATAATTAATTAAAAATAAAGAAAATATATGGTTTTTTTTTTGGAATTTTTTGAAAATATTTGTAAATAATTAATTAAAAATAAAGAAAATATTTGCTTTTTTATTTTGAAAATTTTAAAATGAAAATAAAAGTAGAAATTAAAATAAAAAATCTTTTTGAGGTTTTTGAAGATAAAAAAAAATAAAATAAAATAAATTAAACGCTAAAAATAAAAATAAAAATGTAGTCAAAGTTAAAGTCAAGGTCAACAAAGGAGCACAGATCGATAGATCGATCGAAAGTTACTTCGATCGATCGAACAGGTGAAAACCTGCGGAGAAGTTCGAACGATGCATAGAGAGGCCTTTTTGTGGATCTCAAAAAAATTTCTAAGTGTGGAGTGAAGATCAATCTAAGAAAAGTTGGATCGATCTAGGAACTTTTAGATTGATACAAAGAAATTTTTGAACGATACGCAGAGAGCTAATTTATGCAGGAAATTTCAGATCGATGGAACAGAGCAATGATTGGATGTAGGGATGGGTGTTCGATCGATCGAACCTTTTTTGAGATCAATTGAACAAGGACAAAATGCCTATTTTTAGAATGAAAGTGTATGCATGCTCAATCAAAATCCTAGCCATGTGTATAAATTCTAAAACATATCTAGACGACGCAAGAAATGAAAGATAAAATATAAATGAGGGAGGAATATGGTTGTAAACCCTACAAAGCATTTATTAGTCTTTAACGTCTCTAGCAAGACGTTGGGCTCTTTTAGCCCGGATCAAACATCTTATAATGCATCCCCTCCTTGTCGGGGTGATAAGTACTTTGAATTCCACCCAACAAACGGTTCCCTAAAGAACTTGTTGGATTAGGTTCAAAGGAGATTGTTGGTCCGTTGTCAATATGATCTTTGGGCTTCTATGCCCTCTCAAAGCAAGATTTTGGAACATCATTGTTTGGATTCAAGGTTGAAGATGATTTTTTTTAAGTTTTGGTTTCAAGCAAAGACTACATTCTTTCACATTCATTGTCTAGACATTTTTCTACAACATTTACTTCTTTATGTTTGTCAAATGAATTTGGGGTCAGATTGAAGAAATTCAACTTCACTTTCATATGCCCAAATGAAATTTTCATTACCCCCGTCCTACAATTGATATTGGCATTTGCGGTTGCCAAGAAAGGACGGCTAAGAATAACGGGAATTTGGCTTTTGGGATTTGGAACCGGTTCCATGTCAATGACAACGAAATCGACCAAAAAGAATAATTTATCAATTTTAATCAAGACATCCTCAATGATACCCCTAGGCTTTTTGATGGATCGGTCAGCAAGTTGCAAAACCACCGATGTCAGTTTCAAGTCTCCTAAGCCCAATTTGACATATACCGAGTATGAAAGAAGATTAACACCTGCTCCTAAGTTTAGAAGAGCCCGATTAATGACATAGTCAGCAATGATGCAAGAAGTAGTAGGTGAACCGGGGTCTTTAAACTTTGGGAGGATGTTATGTTGCAAGATTGAGCTCACTTCCTCGGTCAAGACCACTTTCCTAGGTGCTTGGCTCTTGTTCTTCCTCTTTTGGGTGCAAAGATCTTTTAAGAACTTGGCATAAGTCAGAATTTGCTTAATTGCATCCAAAAGTGAAAGATTAATCTTCACTTGCCTAAACATTTCAAAGATTTCATTGGTCTTGGTCTTTTGTTTATCAAGATAAATGGATCCTTTCAAGGCATCCGGAAATGGAACGCTTGGCTCAAAAGTTTTTTCAAAAATTTTCTTTGAAGAATCTTCAACATAAGAATTTTAAAAATCCTTTTTCAAAGCTTTGTTCAATTCATTTTTCAAATCAATTTTGGACTCACTTTCCAAATCACTTTCTAACACTTTCTCATTTGAATGATCATGCATATGCAATGAAGGAGGAATAGGATATGAAACTGGACGGGTGTAAACTTTTGGTTGCACTGGTTCATTCTCTTCATTGGGAATACCTACTTTGTTGTCCACAATCTTCCCACTTCTCAAGGTTGTCACCGTATTGAAATGCTCAATTGTGGGGCCTTCCGATGAGGAATGAGTCTTCACAACACCTTGTTGCTTTGGTGGGTCATTCAAAGGCATTTTCCCTTTCTCTCTAGCATTTAAGGTATTAGCTATTTGCCTGACTTGGGTTTCTAGCTTAGCAATGGATTGAGAATGGGAATGAAGCAATTGAGTGTTCGCCTCTAGAGTGCCTAGAACGGTCAAAACTTTCTCTTCAAAGGTGGGACTCCTAGAGTTTCCTTGAGAATATGATGATTGGTTAGGAAAATGAGAGTTAGAAAATTGATTGCCATGTGATTGAAATGATGATGATTTAAAACCTTGGGAACCTTGGCTTTGCATTGGTGGCGGAACATACTTCCCTTGAAAACCACCTTGGGGAGGGTTTGAGCCTTCCCCTTGGCTTTTCCAAGAAAAGTTCGGATGGTTCCTCCAACTTGAATTGTAATGAGTGCCATAGGGATTATTCCCTTGATTGACAAATGTAGCATTGACTTGCTCATAGGGCTCACTTTGCACATGTCTATGAGGACAATTGGAAGTAGAATGCAAGACACTTGAACAAGCCATGCAAGATTCGTTAGATGCACGATGATGAATATGAGTAGGGGAGAAAGATACTTGATTTGCCAAATTTTGGTTGATCAAAAATTGATCAAACCTTTGAGATAAGGATTTTATTTCGGCGGCTATGTCATTGGAGTTGTCAACTTGATGTAAGCCAACATTCTTCCTTCCACGTAGGTTTATACCATTTTTAGAAGATAAGGACCTATGCATGGAATTTTCACTCATACTTTTATACAATTGCCACACATCATTTTCATGTTTATCAAGATAAGAACCACCCATAGATGCATCAACTATACCCTTGTGATGAGGGCATTTTCTAAGCAAATCATTAAACCTTTCCCATGCCTCATGAAACATTTCCCCATCCCCTTGAGAAAATTCTGTAAATGAAGTTCTCATGGCATTGGTTTTAGAAACCGGATAGTATTTTTTTAAGAACTCTTGTTGCATTTCCGCCCAAGAGGTTATCGAAAAAGGCCTAAGATTGTTGAACCAATATTTTACCTTGTCTTTAAGGGTGAAAAGAAAAAGTTTAAATCTTAAAACTTCTTCCGGCATGTCCGTGTATTTCACGGTGGAACACACTTCAAGAAACTCATCCAAATGCTTATAAGGTTCTTCACTGGGAAGTCCATGATACTTAGGAAGCATTTGAATGGTTTGTGGTTTGATTTCATAGTGATGTGCTCTAAATGGAGGCAATTGAATGCAAGTGGGTGCATTATACTCATTAGGCACATAATGGTCTCTTAATGCAATGGGAGGATTCACAATTGGTGGTGCTACACAAACACCTTGATTAGCTTGAACCATGGGAGGTTGTGGAATAAAGATTGGTTGAGGCATTCCCAATGGAATTTGGCCTTGTTGTTGTGGTGGAATGAATGGTCTAGGCATGCCTAATGGTACTTGGACATTTTCATGATGCACATTAGGGTGGAGGATGCCTTGTTGGTCTATATGGCCAAGGTCCTTCACATAGTCGTTATTCAAATTCTCCATTGATGAAATGGAGTGATGAGAATTACCTCTTCCCCTAGGATTATGAATAACTGATTCAAGATGAAAATTAAGAGGGATAAGAGTAGGATTTAATGACCTACGACCATGCATGCACTAGCAAAGACAAATAACAAGCAAATAAGTAAGTAACAAACACTTCGCCCCCACAACAAATTAATCAATAAATCTTCACATACAATGATCCCATGGTCCCATGCTTGAACGACATGCAAGGAAAAGTAAATTGCCTTCATATGGGTTCATGATTTATCTAAAAAATGAAAAACAAACCTCCAAGCGGGCCGACGATTTAACTAGAGCTTGAGTTAGAAAGATCTCACAAAGGGTCCTTAAGCAACTTCAATTCATTTTCAACTTCCAAGCTTTGCTATGCTTTGTATTTTTTAGATTTTTAGTCCTTTTTGTGCTTAGCTTAACTCCTTACTTTGAATTCTCCTTTATTCAACTTCCTTCACTAAATTCACCTAGCCAAATAAGAACAAGCACAATAAGTAATCAAAAAAAAAATTAATAAAGACACGATCAAAAGAGTACTAATTCCTAAATGTTTCCAAAACACGGCGTTGCCAATTCAATCCCCAGCAACGGTGCCAAAATTTGACGGTGGCCGTTCCTATTTGCCAAAATAATGTAGTGAATGCACGGTTCAAGAAAAGCCTTTTGGGTCAAGTTTAAATTTATAAAAACCACTACTACCACTACTACTAACGTAGTAAGGGTGAGTAGGGATCGTCCCAATGGATTGGAGGGCTACTAGTAATGGAAACAATGCTTAGGGTTAGTAGGTCGAATGATCAAATGTAGATTGTTTGGTTGATTAAACTACAATTAAGATTAAGCAAGCTCAATATAAAACAAGTAATTAAAGGATAGAGAAAACAAGAGAGAGATAGGTCCTAGGACTTAGAGATCACCACTAAGCATCACTTTTCTATACACTCAATTCATAACTAATGAGGGAGAAAACACATGTTGCAACAATAGTGAGTGTGTGTGGTTGTTTCAACAAGTATGGATGACCAATTAAGTGTAAATTGTCTAAACAACACAATGAATAACACAATATATTAAACTAAATCATTAATCCTTCCTTTAAGCTCACAATCCAAATGCATCACATAATTAGAGAAATATACTACTTGCATTCATAAGTATAGAACATCAAACAACAAGCATGGATTGTCCTCCCATTTAACAACTAAGGTAACTACACTATATCTAAACTAATGACATGAAAATTAAACTAATTAAACTAAGGGCTATCTCCATGGTAGCCACTCATAAATGGTGTCCTCCAACTCTCAAGGGCTATCTCCATGGTAGAAATGTTCTTCTTCTTGAAGTAGATGGAAGACCTCCCAAGAATGTGTCTCTAGCCTCCTCTTCTCTTTTCTTCCTCTATAAGAATAATCAAAAATTGTATATATTAACTCCTAAAAGCATATCCAGAAAAAACTCCTTTGTAAAAGTGGCTCATAATCCTTATATAGGTAGCTCAAATGTCACACCCAATGGTCTAGGCTCGTACACAAGGGCTCCTCCAATGATTGCACCATGAGACAACTTTTAATGAGTTGGAAATTAATTTAATTCGTACTTAATTGAGAGGGTTCGATTGATCGAACCTATACTGAGATCGATCAAACTTGGCTGAGATCTATCAAACTTTGGCTGGATCGATCCTCCTATGACGGCGCCTTTTGGATAAGGACAGATCTGAGATATTTTAGGGAAAGAGACAAAAGTGGTAAATAGGGTGGTACAACAGGATAAGATGAAATCTTTTCATTCGATCTGAGAATTGTTGGATCGATCGAACTTTGTTGGATCTTTGGATAAGGATAAAAGAGCTTGGATCCATCTTGGAGAGTCTAGATCGATGAACTTTCGATCGATCGAAGTATTCTTGAGATTGATGGAACATGTTGATTTCCACACTTTTCTTCAATCTACTTCCACTTTGCTCATTTTTTCCATCCAGCTTGAGTTAGCTTCTTTTAAGGTCTTATTTGGCTAAATTAGCTTATTTTGGGGATAAGCACCTAACAAGATCAATAACACGAAATTAGTCTAAAATGGGAAAGTAAGATAGATAAAGGTCCTAGAATACCTAAGCTTAAGGGGTTTAAATGCACACTTTTCAGCGCTCATCACACCCCCAAACTTAAATATTGCTAGTCCCTAGCAATGAATTACAAAGTAAAGGAATGAAATGAAAAACTATATAACTATGAATCTAGAAAGTAATAAATGGATAACGCTACTTTCGTAGGGAACACAATTGCATTCAACACCTTGACCTTTTTGCCAAGTTGATTTTCAACCTCATTTTTTTAATATTTAAACATTTCTAAGGTTTTATCTTTACTTCGTAGCAAATATAGATAACAGTATCTTGTGTAATCATTGATAAAAGTAACGAAGTACCCATTTCCATGTCTAGTTGGCATAAATTTAAAATAATATAATATACTATATAATATTATATTACAAAAATAACTTAACCAATATTGAATTATATCAATAATCTATTTATATAAGATGTTTCAATTTCACATAATATTGAACACATCAATATTTAGCATATTATCATATAATAATGTATATAATATTATTTTATTATATCTCAACTATTAGTATAAAATCTACTTGTTTATATCTTAAATAAAAATATATAATAAAATCTACGCAAGGAATGAATCTGTCTTAAGATTGTTGAAAAAATATATGCTTCAAATGATATTTAAGATATAAGTAACCCTATACTAATATGCCATAAGATTTTTATGATATGCTAAAATAATTAATTAAATATTCACCTAGAATTTTAATTAAACATGCAAATTAAATCAATAAAATAATAATAATACTAAATAAAGAACCTGGACCGAGGCTAGTATTGGATACTATGTCCTTAAGACAAATTCGCCCCGTTATGGTGCTAATGGATTCAATGGCGTCTATCTACTAGGATACAACGGTCTACATTCACTAGTAGTAGTACTACACACTCGTGAATACAAGGAACCTCCTTCGTGTAATACTCTCTCTGACTCAAAAATGCATCTATACTATATAAATAATGAATTGGGTGCAATCTGAACCAAATGGCTTGGACCAAATTTAACATGGCTCAATGAAATTGGCTTTGGGCCTAAGTGGCTCAGACCACTTAACCATGGCTTGAACCCACACCCACTTCGGTTGGGTTCATCTTAAGAGAAGGAGAGAATAATGAATTGCGCACTTTAAATGGCAACCAATGGTGGGTATTTATAGAAAAACTGGTGCCTCTTGGTTAATGGACATGTCCCTTTACTCGCATCCATTCTACAAAATCTGGTTTAAATTACCCTTCACACACCTGTTCACTTTGGGTGCGGTTCACATTGAACCGACATAAATTTGGGTTGCATCTCTTCTTATCACAACCCTTTATCGCACCTTTTAAGTGCAATGCAACCCTTTGGAAATTTTCATTCAAAATACCAACATATTTTTCTCTTATATTAGATAAACATGGGTTTAGATATTGATTTGAATTTATTCCATGAAGAATATGACAAAGAGAAGGTTCCATGTGAAAATGAAAATATGATAGATGGTGAGAATAATAAGGAAGTGGAAAAAGAATTGGAACCATACAGTTGTCTGGAATTTGATTCACATGAAAAGGCATATTCATTTTACTTAAAATATGCAAAGTCCATAGGGTTTGGTGCCTCAACGAAAACTAGTCGCAAGTCAAGAGCAAGTGATGAAGTTATTGATGTAAAGTTTGCATGTACAAGATATGGGTTTAAACGAGGGTCTAATGCTTTCAATTCATGACCTTTTTTGAATATTGATTGTAAAACAATTTTACATGTAAAGAGAAGACAAGATGGAAAATGGTTTGTTCATGATTTCATCAAAGAACATAAACATAAACTTTTTCCTATCCATGCACACTATTTTCCGTGTCATAGGAGCATCAATCCTACTATCTAGCATAACACTGATACTTTGCATGGAGTTGGCGTGAAGACAAGTAAGATTTTTACTGCAATAACCAAACAAAATGGTGGGTATGAAAATATTGATTTTTTGGAGAAAGACATTAGAAACCATATTGACAAGGAAAAACGTTTGGAGTTAGCATCAGGGGATGCTTAAGCAATGTCTGAGTATTTTATGAAGATGCAAGAAGAAAACACTAATTTTTTTTTTTATGCATTGGATTTAGATGAAGATTAACGTTTAGGAAATGTTTTTTGGGTTGATGCAAAAGGACGAGAAGATTATAAAATTTTTAGAGATGTCCTTTATATATATATATACACACTACAATATAAGATGTCATTTCCTCCATTTGTTGGTGTAAATAATGACTTCCAAACT